CTGGTAAGGGTCCAGTTTCCTCTTCGCAGAGAGTTTTAGGTTTTCTCCAGAGATTTGACGAGCACTGAGGTCAGAGCCACTGGTCGGTACTCATTGTGCTCCTTGGGGCATGGCTTTTTCGGGATGGGGATGAAGTGAAATGTTTTCCAGGCCTGTGGTATTGTGTGTGAGTCGATGGATAACTGGAAGATGGGTTGCCAGACTGGGCCAAGCTCCTCAGCAAACGTCTTGAGGCTCACATTATCTGGTCCAGAGGCCTTCCTTGGGTTCAGCTGTTTAAAAACCTTTGTCACCTGCTCTGTGGTAATGATGATTTCCTCTGCGTGAGAGGGAGGGACAGTCTGTCGGACTGCAAATCAGTAATTTGTGTGATTTATGGGTGTCAAGTCTTTTTTAGAACAGTTTCAGTTCCTTCACAAATGTGGGCTCGTCCTCCACGTGGAGGTGTTTGCTGGGTGCTGACAAGCCGGCCATGCTCTTCATGGTTTGCCAGGCTAGCCTAGGATTGGCTGCTGTGAAGGTACACTCCAGTTGTTCTCTGTCCCTCCATAGTTCTGCAGCTGGCCTGCCTTGTCAGGCAAACTAGACTGTTGCCCTTTGCCTCCCTCTTTAGGAACATTGATCTTGAACAATAACATGTTTGAACAGAATATGAACTTTCTGCACTTCCCCTTGTGTCACTCAGTAACTTTCCATGCACCAAGTTCCTATTCACCCTTCATTGACCCTAACATATACATTCCTTATACATGTAAAGAAATCAATAAGTTCTAGTATGGTAACATGAATAAGTACATTTCAAGCTAGAATCCAACACTACCATGCTGGAACACCTCCCAGTCAGTGCAGAGGAAACAGCCTTTAAGAGTCTCTGTGCTGTCATTCCTCTGTGGACTGTCTTTCTCACCGGTCTGGTTTTCTTTAGCTTTGTCTTATACAGTGCCGATTTTAGCATGTACTGTGCATTCGGGAAGTATTCAGACCCCTTGACTTTTTCCACATTTTGTTACGTTACAGCCTTATTCTAAAATTGATTAAAACATTATTTCCCCTCACCAATCTACACACACTACCCCATAATGACGAAGTGAAAACAGGTTTTTAGAAATGTTAGCAAAGTTATAAACAATTAAATACCTTTATAACGTAAGTATTCAGACCCTTTGCAAAGAAACTCCAAATTGAGCTCAGGTACATCCTGTTTCCATTGATCATCCTTGAGATGTTTCTACAACTTGTTTGGAGTCCAGTTCTATTGATTGGACATGATTTGGAAAGGCACACACCTGTCTACATAAGGTCCCACAGTTGACAGTGGATGTCAGAGCAAAAACCAAGCCATGAGGTCGAAGGAATTGTCCGTAGAGCTCCGAGACAGGATTGTGTCGAGGCACAGATCTGGGGAAGGGTACCAAAACATTTCTGCAGCATTGAAGGTCCCCAAGAACACAGTGGCCTCCATCATTCTTAAATGGAATAAGTTTGGAACCACCAAGACTCTTCCTAGAGCTGGCTGCCTGGCCAAACTGAACAATCAGGGGGAGAAGGGCCTTGGTCAGGGAGGTGACCAAGAACCCGATGGTCACTCTGACAGAGCTCCAGAGTTCCTCTGTGGAGATGGGAGAACCTTGCAGAAGGACAACCATCTCTGCAGCACTCCACCAATCAGGCCTTTATGGTAGAGTGGCCAGATGGAAGCCACCCCTCAGTAAAAGGCACACGACAGCCTGCTTGGAGTTTGCCAAAAGGCACCTAAAGGACTCTCAGACCATGAGAAACAAGATTCTCTGGTCTGATGAAACCAAGATTGAACTCTTTGGCCTGAATGCCAAGGGGCACGTCTGGAGGAAACCTGGCACCACCCCTACGGTGAAGCATGGTGGTGGCAGCATCATGTTGTGGGGATGTTTTTCAGCGGCAGGGACTGGGAGACTAGTCAGGATCGAGGAAAAGATGAACGGCGCAAAGTACAGAGAGATCCTTGATGAAAACCTGCTCCAGAGCTCTCAGGACCTCAGACAGGTCAACTACCCTAAGCGCACAGCCAAGACAACGCAGGAGTGGCTTCGGGACAAGTCTCTGAATGTCCTTGAGTGGCCCAACCAGAGGCCGGACTTGAACCCGATCGAACATCTCTGGAAAGACCTGAAAATAGCAGCAACGCTCCCCATCCAACCTGACAGAGCTTGAGAGGATCTGCAGAGAAGAATGGGAGAAACTCCCCAAATACAGTTGTGCCAAGCTTGTCGCATCATACCCAAGAAGACTCAAGGCTGTAATCGCTGCCAAAGGTGCTTCAATAAAGTACTGAGTAAAGGATCTGAATACTTATGTAAATGTAATATTTCTTGGTGGGGGGCATTACATTCTAACAACCTGTTTTTGCTTTGTCATTATGGGGTATGGATATTTTTCCCATTCTGGAGCGAGAGTGCATGCATGTGAAATGGGAATGTTGAGCATAAAAGTGACCATTTGAAACAGATCCTATACACTAGATTTACATTTATTTGGCAGCTCCAGTTGTGAATGATACAAACCTTAGAATGCCTTAGAAATCAAAAGCTATATGGGCTGCATGAAGCGACTATAGGCTATTTATGATTTGAGAAAGTCGCAAAAAAATGCTTGCGCTCTGTTCCTCACAAGCAGTTCTCTCAAGTGCTCATATTTTCACCCTCCTCACAAAAAGAGATTGCGGTTTTGAAACTGCCGTAAAAGTGCGGTAACTGCAGTCGACTGTGGTATTTTGGACGCAGTAATTTCAGAAAAACTGAAGTGTACTGCAGTTATACTGCACTCTAACTGCAGTTACACTTCAAAATTACTACAGTAAAAAAAAGGTGTTATTTTGGACACCGTATTTGCAGTGTACTGCAGTTATACTGCACTGACTGCTTTTTCTCTTCTCGTAAGAGCCATCAGACTATTCTCAATTCAATCTTGTCTTTACTAATATGTTAAATTAGTTTCGATTTCGAATGGCCCATTATCAAATGGGCAAGAACAGGGGCAAGACAAAGACATGTCATCTGTATGCACTGGAATAGCGAATCAAGGCCACTTTTCCGCCGGTACATTTTTCACTCATGTTGGGTAGGCTACTCCGGTAATTTCCCTGCGCCACAGATGATATTCCGCCCAAGGCTCTCCAACCCTGTTCCTGTAGCTACCCAGTGCTTAATTTGCTAAATAAAGTTAAATCTGTTCGGGAACATCGATACTTACCTTCTGTAGCTAAAGGTAATGTGTCAGTCTATTAATTATGAAGGAAAAGGAAAAACTATTACTAGGCTATTCAAAATCAGAAATCATTTCACTATAATTGTAGGCTAAATCTGAATTTGTTTAATTTAGGCTAGACCAATATGCGCTAGGCTATTTATTGTATAACGGCACAATCATTATTTGAATTCTGTTTTTTTCGGGCTCGTATATAGGCCTATGCTTATATTATATTATTATAAGCTCTAATATGCATAAGGGTGTTTTGAATCACGTTAGAAAGTGCTGCCCATTTCGTTGTGTTAGGCTTTGAAACAACATCCACAATGACCATGCTTTCCACTCAGTTTCAACCTGTTGTTTAACTTCTTTCTTCAAATTGATCAATCACAGTGAGGTGAGTTTTAAAAGCACATACTGTTTTGATTATGTGTTTGATGTGATTTTCCATGGCATTTGCATTAATGTCAGCGTGGTTAGAGGGGCAATAGAGCCCTGAGTACCAGGCCATTAGCGACCTGATGATCGTTAGTGAGTTTGTTACTACTAATGCATGTCCAGAGTGCATAAGAGGAGATTACCGTGACTCAATGGTCACGTAGAATTGTACTGCGATCGTGACTCATGACTGCCGGTGTGGTGGTAATATGGTCACTGCAACAGTCCTAGTCTTGTAGACAGGGATGATCTGGACAGCGTTGTGGTCAGAGTTGGAGATATGTGGTTTGATGTGGGTGGTATAGCAGTCTTTGATGTTGACAAAGCACTTGTCCAGGATATTCCCCATCCTGGTGTTGCCTTTGACGATTTGGGAGAAGCCTGGCATTGCCCACTCAAGGCTACACTGGTTGAGGTCTCCCAGTATTATGACTGGTGCATCTGAGTGTTTTTGCTGGCAAGTATGAACACAGTCTGAGACGGTGCTAGATGCTTTTGCTGTTTTGCCACTAGGAGGGACGTATGCAACACACAGTATCACACATCCAAACTCCCTTGGGAGAAAGAATGGTCTAAGAGTAAGGCACAGAGCCTCCACATCACTGGTAAATATTTTATCCTTGATAGTAAATTGCTGGCACCACCGGTCATTTATGTACACACAAACCCTGCCCCCTTTACTCTTGTCTGAATGTTCAGTCCTATCGGACCTCACAAGTGTAAACCCCGTCGATTTCCAGTTGAGAGTCTGACATCATAGGAAGCAGCCATGTTTCGGTGTAGCACATGAGAGAAGAGTCTCTGTACTCAAAACAGTACCTTGCACTCGTTCGGATCTCATCAATTTTGTTGCCAAGCGAATGTAGGTTAGCCAGCATCATAGACGGGAGAGCAGTTCTCATATTCCCCCTCGTCTTCCCTGTTTCTCCTTCTCCTCACCCGTAACTCCATCGGGATGTTGTAGTATTCCGGAAGTCTCATTGTTGGTGGTACTAGTGAGCGCAGGGACATTAGTCTCCCTCAAGTGCACCGGCTCCGTCATGCTTGCTTGCATGTTTGTAATCCTGTTGTGGTCTCCACTTGACAGCCAACGTGTGTGTGTGTTTATTCCAAACATACCGTAGAGCAGAAGTAGCGTTGTAATCAAAGTTAATCTTTTAGTCCGTTTGTGTAATAATCCGCAGTGGGTATAAAAGACCTTTCAGCTCACATAAAACTCATAATGATGACAAAAACACAGACACAATTTGCAAGATCGTAGTGGGAGTTGTACATACATCCACACTAATCCCTACCTGTAATTATACACACTCACACCCTTCTCTCCTCCCTCAGCTCCTCCCAGTGGTACGTGTAACGTCCAGTGTCTGAACGGAGGCAGTTGTTTCCTCAACGCCAGGAAGCAGCCCAAGTGTCGCTGCCAGCCCAACTTCGGAGGAGACAAGTGTGAGGTGGACCAGTGCAGGGACTACTGTCAGAATGGAGGCACCTGCACAGCCTCTCCTACAGGTAATACACTAACATAAAAAAATGTATACTAAAAAACTAACCTGACAGGAGGGGGCACTGTCTGAGAGGTGTCAGAATAGAACATTACGCCAGGAAGAGTGAGACATACAGTGGGGGAAAAAAGTATTTAGTCAGCCACCAATTGTGCAAGTTCTCCCACTTAAAAAGATGAGAGAGGCCTGTAATTTTCATCATAGGTACACGTCAACTATGACAGACAAAATGAGAGAAAAAAAATTTTTCTCCAGAAAATCACATTGTAGGATTTTTTATGAATTTATTTGCTAATTATGGTGGAAAATAAGTATTTGGTCAATAACAAAAGTTTCTCAATACTTTGTTATATACCCTTTGTTGGCAATGACACAGGTTAAACGTTTTCTGTAAGTCTTCACAAGGTTTTCACACACTGTTGCTGGTATTTTGTCCCATTCCTCCATGCAGATCTCCTCTAGAGCAGTGATGTTTTGGGGCTGTCGCTGGGCAACACGGACTTTCAACTCCCTCCAAATATTTTCTATGGGGTTGAGATCTGGAGACTGGTTAGGCCACTCCAGGACCTTGAAATGCTTCTTACGAAGCCACTCCTTCGTTGCCCGGGCGATGTGTTTGGGATCATTGTCATGCTGAAAGACCCAGCCACGTTTCATCTTCAATGCCCTTGCTGATGGAAGGAGGTTTTCACTCAGAATCTCACGATACATGGCCCCATTTATTCTTTCCTTTACACGGATCAGTCGTCCTGGTCCCTTTGCAGAAAAACAGCCCCAAAGCATGATGTTTCCACCCCCATGCTTCACAGTAGGTATGGTGTTCTTTGGATGCAACTCAGCATTCTTTGTCCTCCAAACACGACGAGTTGAGTTTTTACCAAAAAGTTATATTTTGGTTTCATCTGACATTCTCCCAATCCTCTTCTGGATCATCCAAATGCACTCTAGCAAACTTCAGACGGGCCTGGACATGTACTGGCTTAAGCAGGGGGACACGTCTGGCACTGCAGGATTTGAGTCCCTGGTGGCGTAGTGTGTTACTGATGGTAGGCTTTGTTACTTTGGTCCCAGCTCTCTGCAGGTCATTCACTAGGTCCCCCCGTGTGGTTCTGGGATTTTTGCTCACCGTTCTTGTGATCATTTTGACCCCACGGGGTGAGATCTTGCGTGGAGCCCCAGATCGAGGGAGATTATCAGTGGTCTTGTATGTCTTCCATTTCCTAATAATTGCTCCCACAGTTGATTTCTTCAAACCAAGCTGCTTACCTATTGCAGATTCAGTCTTCCCAGCCTGGTGCAGGTCTACAATTTTGTTTCTGGTGTCCTTTGACAGCTCTTTGGTCTTGGCCATAGTGGAGTTTGGAGTGTGACTGTTTGAGGTTGTGGACAGGTGTCTTTTATACTGATAACAAGTTCAAACAGGTGCCATTAATACAGGTAACGAGTGGAGGACAGAGGAGCCTCTTAAAGAAGAAGTTACAGGTCTGTGAGAGCCAGAAATCTTGCTTGTTTGTAGGTGACCAAATACTTATTTTCCACCATAATTTGCAAATAAATTCATTAAAAATCCTACAATGTGAAATTCTCAATTTGTCTGTCATAGTTGACGTGTACCTATAATGAAAATTACAGGCCTCATCTTTTTAAGTGGGAGAACTTGCACAATTGGTGGCTGACTAAATACTTTTTTCCCCCACTGTATACAGTGGCTTGCGAAAGTATTCACCCCCCTTGGCATTTTTCGTATTTTGTTGCCTTACAACCTGGAATTTAAATGGATTTTTGGGGGGTTTCTATCATTTGATTTACACAGCATGCCTACAACTTTGACGAAAAACAGAACTTGAGCGTGCATAACTATTCATCCCCCCCCCCCCCAAAGTCAATACTTTGTAGAGCCACCTTTTACAGCAATTACAGCTGCAAGTCTCTTGGGGTATGTCTCTATAAGCTTGGCACATCTAGCCACTGGGATTTTTGCCCATTCTTCAAGGCAAAACTGCTCCAGCTCCTTCAAGTTGGATGGGTTCCGCTGGTGTACAGCAATCTTTAAGTCATACCACAGATTCTCAATTGGAATGAGGTCTGGGCTTTGACTAGGCCATTCCAAGACATTTAAACGTTTCCCCTTAAACCACTCGAGTGTTGCTTTAGCAGTATGCTTAGGGTCATTGTCCTGCTGGAAGGTGAACCTCCGTCCCAGTCTCAAATCTCTGGAAGGTTGAAACAGGTTTCCCTCAAGAATTTCCCTGTATTTAGCGCCATCCATCATTCCTTCAATTCTGACCAGTTTCCCAGTCCCTGCCGATGGAAAAACATCCCCACAGCAAGATGCTGCCACCACCATGCTTCAATGTGGGGATGGTGTTCTCGGGGTGATGAGAGGTGTTGGGTTTGCACCAGACATAGCCAAAAAGCTCAATTTTAGTCTCATCTGACCAGAGTACCTTCTTCCATATGTTTGGGGAGTCTCCCACATGCCTTTTGGTGAACACCAAACGTGTTTGTTTATTTTTTTCTTTAAGCAATGGCTTTTTTCTGGCCCCTCTTCCGTAAAGCCCAGCTCTGTGGAGTGTACAGCTTAAAGTGGTCCTATGGACAGATACTCGAATTGCAGCTGTGGAGCTTTGCAGCTCCTTCAGGGTTATCTTTGGTCTCTTTGTTGCCTCTCTGATTAATGCCCTCCTTACCTGGTCTGTACGTTTTGGTGGGCGGCCCTCTCTTGGCAGGTTTATTGTGGTGCCGTATTCTTTCCATTTTTTAAATAATGGATTTAATGGTGCTCTGTGGGATGTTCAAGGTTTTTAATATTTTTTTATAACCCAACCCTGATCTGTACTTCTCCACAACTTTGTCCCTGACCTGTTTGGAGAGCTCCTTGGTCTTCATGGTACCGCTTGCTTGGTGGTGCCCCTTGCTTAGTGGTGTGGCAGACTCTGAGGTCTTTCAGAACAGGTGTGTGTATATATACTGAGATCATGTGACAGATCATGTGACTTTATTGAACTAATTATGTGACTTCGGAAGGTAATTGGTTGCACCAGATCTAATTTAGGGGCTTCATAGCAAAGGGGGTGAATACATATGCACGCACCACTTTTCCGTTATTAATTTTTTTGAATTCTTTGAAACAAGTTTGGACTATTTTGTGTATGTCCATTACATGAAATCCAAATAAAAATCGATTTGAATTAACGGTTGTAATGCAACAAAATAGGAAAAACGCCATGGGGGATGAATACTTTTGCAAGGCACTGTAGAATGATAATACAACTAGACAGCCGTGTATTGAGTCAAGGACTTAACCCTCAATGAGCAGTCCTAATGTTAGTCTGTTTCTCTCTCCTCTTCCTCCCTCATCCTGTCCATCTGTTTATCTCTCTGTCTGACCATGTCTGTCTTGTCTCTCCCTCCCTCCCTAGGCTCCCCAACGTGTCGCTGTCTGACAGGGTTCACTGGTCCCAACTGTAACCTCCAAACCTGTAAGAACTACTGTCAGAACGGAGGGAACTGCACGGTCAGCGCTGGCAACCAGCCCACCTGCCACTGCCCTGCTGACTTCCTGGGGGACCAGTGCCAGTACCGTGAGTCTGTCTGTCTTTCTGTTGGTCTGTCCCTGTCTTATCTTATTTTTTATTTAATGTAATATTGCCTTGTGTTTGTCTATAAATGTTCTGTATTGTGTCATGTAACCTACCTCTTCAAAAAGTATCTGAATAATCACACAGCACACCCCTCCCCCGCCCCGAACAAGGAGAAGAGAACAAACCTACTGAGACCCTACTGTTGAACTTGACTTGACTACTGAGAGACCCTACTGTTGAACTTGACTTGACTACTGAGAGACCCTACTGTTGAACTTGACTTGACTACTGAGAGACCCTACTGTTGAACTTGACTTGACTACTGAGAGACCCTACTGTTGAACTTGACTTGACTACTGAGAGACCCTACTGTTGTACTTGACTTGACTACTGAGAGACCCTACTGTTGGACTTGACTTGACTACTGAGAGACCCTACTGTTGTACTTGACTTGACTACTGAGAGACCCTACTGTTGAACTTGACTCTCTTGCACTAACACTTGCACTTGTCTTTTCTTACTAGTACTGACTTTGCTGATTGATGCTTTATTGAGAAAAAGGTTTACTTACTATAAGCAGGTTTCCATCCAACCATTTTTATGTGAGTAAAGTACCTGTCGGATAAAAAACTCACGACAGGCCTGATGGAAAACAAAATACGCTAGACCAGGGTGGATAATTTTTTTGTAGGTGATTAGATTACCGTATGCAACAAATTGCGGTGGAAACTATTTATTGCACAATTGTTGATAGAATAACTATCATGTTGAGGTAAATTTGCAGTCACGTGACGCTATGTTGTGTGGTCCTCCCACTACGACTTGGAAAAGCATGCAGTTTATTAGGCTAAGCTACATATGCAATGGGTTATGATGAACTTCACAGAGTGATGAAAGTGCATGGTGATGAGCTTGCTGCGCCTTTCCATTAAATATAGAGTCTTCATTTGTATGCTGGTGACATGATTTTAGATGCTTGGCTGCCATTTAACAAATAAAAATGATCTCGCTCTTATCCATAGTCTCATCATGGAGGCTATAGCGCACATGCCAAGACCAGAGTGGGCACATTTGCTGTTTATCGCAGACTTTCTGTGCCAAAACTATCAACAGAGTTAAAAATGGGATGGAAACACATTGAACTTGTTTTTTTATTTGATCAATCAAAAGTTATATACGACAGTGCTTTTTGTGTGCACTAACTACGTCATTATGCACAGCCTTTTATTCACAAGAAGACAGTTTGATGGAACCATACCACTGCTGGTAAAATGCACATATTTATTTGTTGCGAACATAAGAATATTCGCTTAAGAATCTTTCAACAAATTGATGGAAACATAGCTACTACTGACTGTGATATGTGATTGTCTCACCTAGCTACCTTAAGATGAATGCACTAACTGTGAGTCACTCTGGATAAGAGCGTCTTCTAAATTACTTAAATGTATTTATATAATGGGGATCGTAATCAACTAAAATAAACTGAACCGTCTGCACTGTCACCGGCTGGCAGTATAAACTGCAGCACTTTACTGAGTTACAGTAATGGAGGATGGTGCTTTCTACAAAATGTTAACTGCTTGGTGCTCTTTTGATATCTACCTTAAGGCTCCTTGCACTCAGTATACTCAGACGGATAGTTGTCTCTTCTGTATGCCTGTGTGTGAGTAGGTAGCTGCGAGGGCCACTGTCTGAACAGGGGCACATGTCTGCAAAGTGCCAGCGGGGCGCGCCAGTGTCGCTGTCTGCCCCAGTACAGCGGCAGCACCTGTGAGGTGGACAAGTGCCACTACTGCCGCGACGGAAAGTGTATCCCCACCAACTCCTTCCAGCCCACAGGAGAGGTCACCTGCATGTAAGTGTCAACACACACACACACAGAAACTGATATTGACAGAAACAGACACTGAAACACACATCAATTTATAACACACATATACACACACCACCCACACACATGTCCTTCCCTATTGTTACCTGTGTGTGTCCTGTAGCTGCACCAACGGCAGAGTCCAGTCCAGCTGCTACACATGTGATGAGTACTGTGCTAATGGACAATGCTCTGTCAACCCACAAACACACCTTCCAGAGTGCAAGTGAGTATACACGCACGCACACACACACGCTCTCACACTAACTCACACGCACTCACTCACTCACTAGAATGTTATTTCTGGTTGCTGTGAGGTAACATCTCTCTCTCTCGCACTCTCTCTCCCTAGGTGTTCTGCAGGCTGGGTTGGGCATCGCTGTGAGGTGGTGGCCTCTAGTGTAGACTCATCAGAGTCTGGCGGACGTAAGTAAACTATTCTCAACTATTCTAAAGGTTTGCAAAAAGTAGAGGCTTAACTTTTGCTTGTGAATTTTACTGTAACTTAGATGTCGGCTGGCCATCAAAATAAAACGCAAGAGCTGCTCCTCTACATTTTACACACATTATTTGGCTGCACATCAACTTGACGCCAAATTAAATCTCCTACCATGAACACATCTCCAGGATTGCCGGTTCTGTGGAGAACGGTCACCAGACTCAGCCTAACTAACTATGTATACTGTTTCTGTGTGTCCGTGTACAGGTACTGCCTCCATAGTGATCCCAATGCTGCTACTGCTGCTGTTGGTTCTGTTGGTGGGAGGAGCTGTGTTCTGGTACAGAAAGAGGATGAGGGGGTGAGTAACACTACACCAAACAACACCACACTTCATTACACAACACTACAAAGCACTACACAACTCCAATACACTAGAGTAACACTGGGACATTGCCTATTTTAACTCCCTCTCAAGCTCTGTCTTCTTCTTGGTCTCTGTCTCTGTACTCTCAGCCTCCCTTCTTTTATCTCTTGGTCTTTACTGTTCGCTCCTTTTCTATCTCTGGTTCTCTCTCTGCTGTGAGTAACTGCATCTCTTCTGTCCCTCAGGTCTGGCAGGCCGGGCAAATCCTGCTCCAGACTCTCGCGGTAACGGTTGCCAGGGTTACGCTTTCCATCCTCTCTCTCCCAAAATGGCATCCCGTCCATTTCTCTCTCTCCTTTCATCCCTCCCTTCATCAGTCACTTTTGCTGTGCAGTGTATAGTCCTGTGGTCAGTGTCGCTACTCTCTGTCTCTCCGTTGTGAATGAGCAGTGCTCTAGTTCAGCTTTCCCCTCCCTCTCCTGTTCTGAATCCCTGTTCAGGATTGGTCCCTCTCTCCAAACCTCCCCACTCTACTGTACTTCTAGGGGGGGTGGGGGTATTAAACAGGTGGTGATCTATTGAAGAGGTTGTGAAATAGATCAGTCTATGGCCCCAAAGTGCCTATAGTACCCCATGCTTTTCTCCATCATACTGTACCATGTTTAGAGTGCTACTGTATGTACCATACTGAGAGGGGACGCTCAGACTGCATTGTTCCAAGCCAGGATTTGGAAAATGCTACATGAAAAATCCAGCATTTACTATTCTTCAAGTCCATGGTTTGACCCGATATGGTAATGCTCCAAACTGACAACATACATTTTTATCCAAAATGCCTATAAACTTTCAAGACATTCCGTAGTACCACTTAGGGTACTGTTACACACCCCTCTCCAGGACCAGTGTGTCTAGTGTATACTAGCTAGGTGAATGCTGGGTTTGCGTTGTTGCCTGTGCTGTGGCTTTGGATCCAGGCACAGTGATGTGACAGCCAATACCCCCCTCCCCGACTCCATGATGTGGCCTTGTCGCTGCCCGCGCTGTGTGGACGCTCTCAGGACCCGTCTGTGCCTCAGGGGTCATGACCTTTCACCACTGTGTTCGCAGGGCCAAGGGCTTCCAGCACCAGAGGATGACCAATGGAGCCATGAACGTGGAGATAGGAAACCCAGCATACAAGATCTACGAGGGCGAGCCAGACGACGATGCCGGGGAGCTCCTAGACTCAGACTTCACACTGGACCCAGACAAGGTAACACACACGGTAATAAAAGCAAGCACACAAACACACTTACACCTTGTCTCACACACCTGTACAAGCAAACACACACACACACACACACACACACACACCCTGGACACAAATGAGGCAACATACAAACACACCTACTCTGATGTATGTAGTTCATCTAATGATCCTCCCTGGTCTCTTCCCAGCCCACCAACTTCACAAACCCAGTGTACGCCACCCTGTACATGGGAGCCCACAATAGCCGCAACTCCCTGGCCAGCACGGATGAGAAGAAGGAGCTTCTGTCGCGGGGGGATGAGGAGCCCCTGGTGGACCCGCTGGCATAGACTGTCCATTAGCCTGGGGCGTACCATTCCAAACACACCCCTCTTTTTGCCTTTTAAAGAAAAAATGGAAATTAAAAAAAGCAAAAAAAAAGCGTGAACACTGTATAAAATGTACAAAAATGAAGGACTACTTTTGTATGTGATTGCAGTATTATATTTTGTTCTTTTACGATTCCTCTGGTCAAAAATTAACAAAAGCATTTTCTAAGATATTTTTTATTTACTTTTTGTCCCTTCCCCTTTACCTAAGTAGCCACTACCTCTGTGCAAAATGAAATGGAAAAAGAAAATTTGAAGTTAAAACATCATTGGACAATTTTTATTTTTGTATGAATTGTATAGAGAAAAAAACATTGTTCCATTTCACTAGTGCCAACTGTCTGTTCGTGTTGACTTCGAGCGGGGGAAGGCTAACTCAATGTTTTGTAAGTCGGTACCAATGTTGTCTTGATGACAGTTTTGTCTGCAGGAGTGCGTAAGACAGGAATAATACAACACGATTTGTGTACAGCACGTGTAAAATGTAAAAACCGGATGGCAACTTCAGTATTTCCATATTATTTTCTCAGAGAACGATATTCATGAAATGATTGTTTTCTTCCTTGCACAAACTTCATGTTTTACGGTGTATATACCGTAAGATGTAACGCAGGTCAATATATGTTTGACTGACTGATGTCTGGTGAGAGGTGATGATGTTGAAGATGTGTTCCACACTCTAGGCTTGTGAATGCTTCCATGTGGTGGGATGGGTGCCCAGTGCCCATGTCATGGCAAGTCAGAGCATTCTAACTAGGGACGGACCAGAGATACTGTGACACCTTTACTGAGAAGAACGTCACCCGTCGGTCTGCACCCCTTCAGTGGAGAAAGGAGATGGGATAACATTTGGTCTAATGTATGTTTTTTTCCCCCTGCAGCATTTCTTCATTTGGTTTCTGGGCTAGAGACTGTCCATCTGGCCCTGTCAGACTGTACAGATGAATCCTTCTAACCATAAGGAGAACAATGAGATCTGTGCTTTTATGGTTTTGGAACAGCTCCCTCTGAAGTGCATTCATTCCTTTCTCTTGCATAGCTTGCATAGCATTTCCCTCTACTGTTTTTCCTTTAGCCGTTCCTGATCATCTCTCTGTCTCCTGTACCCTGCTGCTAGCGCTGCCATTTTGGTCGCTTTGATGTGTCTTTAAGCTCGGCCGCTGTCCCAAAATGCTGCTTCTGTCAGAAGGTGATCAGCCATATTTTAATGCATGTGTGATAAAAAGACACGTTCAAGTAACTAGAATAACAAATCCTTATTTTGCTTACCTGTCAGCAAGTGTTATTTTTGATTTATGCTGTCGCATTGTTTTTTTGTTTTTAATTAAAAAGGAGAGATAAGTACAATCATTTTACTTAAAGAACATTTTTGCAAAATCATACATGCAATTTGGGATTTAAGTTGTTTATGATTAGTCCTTGTTTTATAATGAAATTACACAGCTTTTATAGTACAAAATGCATGGAGGTTCAAACTTTCTTCTGGAAAGAAAATAATGTTAACATTTTTGCTGGAGTACTTTACAAAATAAATAACAGATTGGTATAAATAAAATTAAGAACTGTACAGAAAACAGTTGAATTGTCTTCTTTCAGTACCTTTATACACTGCTCAAAAATAAAGGGAACACTTAAATAACACAATGTAACTCCAAGTCAATCACACTTCTGTGAAATCAAACTGTCCACTTAGGAAGCAACACTGATTGACAATACATTTCACATGCTATTGTGCAAATGGAATAGACAATTAGCAAGACACCCCCAATAAAGGACTGGTTTTGCAGTTGGTGACCACAGACCACATACATTTACATTTACGTCATTTAGCAGACGCTCTTATCCAGAGCGACTTACAAATAGGTTCATTCACCTTATAGCCAGTGGGATAACCACTTTACAATGTTTTTTTGTTTTTTTTAATTTGGGGGGGGGGGTTGGAGTAAAGGGGGGGTGGGGGTAGAAGGATTACTTTATCCTATCCCAGGTATTCCTTAAAGAGGTGGGGTTTCAAATGTCTCCGGAAGGTGGTGAGTGACTCCGCTGTCCTGGCGTCGTGAGGGAGCTTGTTCCACCATTGGGGTGCCAGAGCAGCGAACAGTTTTGACTGGGCTGAGCGGGAACTATTCTTCCGCAGAGGTAGGGGAGCCAGCAGGCCAGAGGTGGATGAACGCAGTGCCCCCGTTTGGGTGTAGGGACTGATCAGAGCCTGAAGGTACGGAGGTGCCGTTCCCCTCACAGCTCCGTAGGCAAGCACCATGGTCTTGTAGCAGATGCGAGCTTCAACTGGAAGCCAGTGGAGTGTGCGGAGGAGCGGGGTGACGTGAGAGAACTTGGGAAGGTTGAACACCAGACGGGCTCCGGCATTCTGGATGAGTTGTAGGGGTTTAATGGCACAGGCAGGGAGCCCAGCCAACAGCGAGTTGCAGTAATCCAGACAGTTCCTATGCTTCCTGGCTGATGTTTTGGTCACTTTTGAATGCTGGCGGTGCTTTCACTCTAGTGGTAGCAT